CTGGTTCACACTCTCGCTCACACCGTAATGATCTTCAAACTGTTCCCTTGGAGGGGTTATGTGAACCCGAGTGTGAACCACAAGCTGGTCCATCATCTGGGTCCTTAGTAAAAGTGCACATCTTACGCGATATCACTATAAAAAAAGGAAAATATGTTGAAAATGTCACTGAAGATCTGAATGATCTGGAAAATCAACAAGTAACTTGTTCTAAAGGAAGAAATGATGTGGACCAAATCGAAGAGTTCATTCCAAATCAACGGATTCCAGAACCCAAACAACGTAAACGGGTAAGGGTGTTAAGTAGTTCCAGTAACTCCGAAAGTAACTCCGAGGGCCATTCATATAATAGGCAACGTTCGGATTTTTGTAAAAGCAGAGCCGCGCAAATCGAGACGAAAACAACTCACGGCTGTGCTGAAACATCGACCGATAAGCTATCGAAGAAATTGGTTTTGGTACAAAGTACTGTACAAGGACATGAAGACGCAATAAAAAAAGAAAGCAAGTGGACACAGAAAAAATACAGTAGGAAAGAGAGAAGACGTCGATCACGTGAAAAACAAGATGACAGACAGCCACTCATCTCAAATTATGCAAAACATTTAAATGCTTCGGAAATGATATTAAAAGAAAACAAACAATTAAGAGAAATGATCATGAATATTCTACCGTCCCATAAAACTGAACATGTTGAAGATAACCTAAATAACACAGATTGTATCAGTTCGTTTTTAAAGATACTACTGAATACTGCTCTCCAAAATAAAGACAGAGTGAGAAACAATATGTTTGATCCTAAACTTTTACAGTTTTGCGTGTATTTATTTATTGTAAGTGGAAGATTAAGCTACGAAACTCTACACGCTAACTTACCTAGTTGTATACCCTCGACGTCGACAATACTTCGAAACATTCATAATCTTCATCACACACAAGAAGGAAAATTGCAATTTTTAGAGTTGAATGAGTTTTTACTCAAACGGAACTTACCAAAAGTAATATGGGTAAGCGAGGACGCTACAGCAATTACGAACAAAATACAGTACTGTTCAAAAACTGATAGTATTGTTGGATTTGTGAAACCATTGGGTCCAGACGGTTTACCACAGGAAAATATATATCCAGCTTCTTCAGCAGTGGCGATTCAAAAATACTTTGAAGAAAATCCCCGTGCAAATTACGCGTACATAATTATGGCACAAGTTCCAATTGATAGGAGTCCATCTTTTTGCATAGGAATCTTTGGAACGGACAACCGATTTACACACCTTGATGTGTCACGACGATGGGCTAAGATACAAAATGAAGCTAAAAAGTATGGAATCACCGTTCTAGGATTTTCTTCTGACGGTGATACAAGACTGCTAAAGGTCATGAGAAAGACATCGAAGTTTCACTGTGACTATACCGACCAGAATAATGATATTGGTGTTAAAGATCTTGTAGACGGCGAAGATTGGAAATCTCGGTGGAAATGGTTTAATATGAAAATGGATAATGACAATATTTGTGTACAGGATACTATACACATCGCAACAAAATTAAAGACGAGATTCTTAAACCAGAATGTAAAGTTGCAAATGGGAGATTTGGAAGTTTCTCAAAATTATATAAAGCGACTTATAGAAGACGAAACCAAAGACAAACACCTATTGACTCTCTCTGATTTAAAGGCAGATGATAAGATGAATTTTAAGGCTGCCGAAAAATTGTCATCAGAACTGGTTACGTCCTTATTAGAAAAAATGCACGACGGTGTAAATGGAGGAGCTGCAAGAGCTACTATCATATATTTGAAAATAATGCGTTACGTTATTAGATCTTTTTTGTTTAAGGAAGAAACAATTAAAAACAGAATTCATTGCTTGTGGTATTGTGTATTTTTCCTAAGGATTTGGAGAGATTGGTTACACAATAACGATTCTGTCTCTTCTCAAAAATCTTTTATTTCTTTAAAGTGCTATTTATGTGTCGAACTTAATGCCCATGCAATGATAAAATTAATTAGACGGTACAGAGACGATAAAAATTTACGAAACTGCAACTTTACTCCGTGGTTGTACAGCTCCCAGCCATGCGAACAAATGTTTAGGGCCACTCGATCGTTGACTTCTACATTTTCAACAATAGTGAATTTCAGTCTTCTGGAAATTTCCCAAAGAATCAATAAAATTCAATACATTAATAATGCAGTAGCAGATTTGTGTGATAACTTTGTATTTCCACGAGAAATACACAAAAAAATTGGTGGTATGCAGCATAGTACCGATGTATTGCAATTCGACCATATAACAGACGATTGTATCGAAGACTGGGTTAAAAATTCTTTGAATGAAGTAAAGAAAGATTGTGAGCTATTAAATATACCTTTCAACGATTCATGGCAAAGTATTAAATATTTGCATAGCTACCACAGTGATGACAATGAACAACTTGAAGAAGGTGATACAAACAATACCCAACATATTTTTGGGATCGCTAATGAGGATACAGCATGCAACAACAAAACTAACTCTTTCGATGAAGTAGTGAAAAATGGAATAAACGAATTATTAACTGAAGACTCGATTTCTATGGAAGAGAATGAACAACCCGATGATGTTTCTAATGATCTCTTGAAAGGCTTTGGTGATACGTTACAATTAAAGGACTGCGGAAAACGTGATAAGAATTCCTCTTTTATAGATGTAAGAGTTGGCGATAAAGAACTCACTATTCGAAAATCATCGTTATGTTGGCTTCTGACTAATCAATCTTGCAAGATGAGTGCTGATCGGTTAATGAGATTTCGAAACTCTCAAAATTCTCCAGTGGCAAACAGTGATCATCAAAATAAATATGACCCTGTCATAGTCAACGAAAACTATTATGCCGTATATTACTATGACAACTGGTATATTGGACGTGTCTTAGAAGAACCATCCCCCAAAATGTATGTAATTAAGTTTCTTAAAGAATCGTTAGATTCATACGATTGGCCAAAAACAGACGACATTCAGAATGTCAGTGCAGAATATATTTTTTTTGGACCTATCACTATGTACGGTACAAAACCTATGACAATAAGTAAGTTTGATAAACAAAAAATTGTGGTCAAGTACAAGGCTTTGAAGCGCAAAGAATGTAATGATAAATAATATTACTGTTGTAGGTATGTATACCTATTCTATATTACTCGTTAGATTTTAGTTAATTAAGCAATATGTCATACTAATTCCGTTTTATGTATATTAACCTCAATATTAACATTATTAACTAGAACAATGTGCATCTTATTTTCTTATTATTCTTTTGCGTTAAAAATAGTTGTTATGAACCATTTTTTAAGAAATAAAATAAACCTTTTTTCAAATAAAAGGAAATTTATTTAATATGTGGAAATACAGTGGAAATATGTGCAAATAAAATGGAAATAAAGTGGAAATGTATGGAAATAAAGTGGAAATATGTGGAAATAAAGTGGAAATATGTGGAAATAAAGTGGAAATATGTGGAAATATTGTGGAAATATGTGGAAATATTGTGGAAATATGTGGAAATAAAGTGGAAATATGTGGAAATATTAAGTGTAGTGGAAATAGGTGTACACAAATTACCTGCGTGATTTACCCCTCGGGTAGTGCGTTTGCATTTTTGCAATATGAAACCGGACGCTGTCAAGCAATTTTTTCTCACGATCTTACGATTCGACTAGTACAACCAAAGATATTATCTTTGGTACGGTACAACTCACGATATTGTCTAATTACACTAATTACAGGAAAATAAGAAGTACATCTGCTCGCTATATCGGTTTTGTCAATTTTTTTTCTAAAATAAAAACACAATAAACTCATAAATAACTGCCAAGGCCAACGTCCGGACCCCGAGGGCTCGGAAGGCAAAGGACTGAAACTGAAAACAAACCAGATCCCAGATCTTTTATAAACAAATGTTTGTAAAACGGCAGGATGCCATAGTTAGACAAAGTTCAAAAATGTACGCAAAGTATACGTAATTCTAATTTAATATCCACCTTACAAAACAAAGCCTGATGTTGCGTTTTTAAATTAGACAAAATTAATAACTTATTTACTAAGAAATACTGTTACGATCCTAATCGTACAAGCAGAGTACACAAATCGAATTTGTCTTTCATTATTTCACAAGTTGAATCTAAATCTATATTTAAATATACGACGTTGAATAAATAACTAGGTTTATCATATTATTTTTCGAACGGACAACTTTTTCATTGACACTCTTGCGATAAAAAAAACCAACACGACCAAAGTGCACATGCACTCCACCCCACTTTTTCTTGGAAGCAATAAATCTTTTTGATGCGATAAGATCGCACCCGTCGCCGCGCTTCATGCGATCGTGTCAGTTTTGTGAATTTTAGTGTGGTCAGTGAATTTTTCGTTTATTTTGTGATTTTGAGTAATAAAACAATATCTATCATGCGTGAATATTCTCGTATTCGTAAAAAGAATCGCCGTGCTAAATCGGCAAGAGCCAGAAGAGCTAGGGAAAGCTCTCAAACTAAAGCCACGTAAGTACCTATCTGAATAACACCACTTTATAAAAATCAAATATTTTACCACAGCAATAGTTAGTGGGTCATTCCATCTCAAATCGCCCAGCTAAAAAAACAAATTGTCGTGTTTAATTTTTTTCGCGATATATGATGAAAATAATAAGACACGTTTTTTATAGATCAATACGTTTTAGTCAGAAACCGAACAATGAATCTCAGATGGGTTCCACAATGGAATTGGATAATGTCACTGAAATGGAACTACAGCCATCGACATCTACCTCATCCATGCCAATTCAAGAGAAATCTATAGAAGATGCAGAACTTGAGTCTGAAAATTCTTTGCAAGGATTACACAGCCACTCGCACAAGTTGTAGTCTGTCTAAGAGAGTGAATGATTGGACTAAGATAATTGATTTGGTGATATGCCAGAAATCAATACAATTACCTTGTCACACGCCCTTACAAAATTGTTATCTTCGAATCAATAACAAATATTTCTTTCAGAAATCCAAACTGGATTTCTAACGTATATGGTAGGCGTAAAACTTTAGAAGAGCGTTGGGATGGGAGATGAACTACAAGCAGAAGCAGCAAGGTATAAAATTCATTTCTTATTTTTAAACAATGAGACGTCAAAAAGTGAAATTTTAGGATTGAGGATGAGGCTTAGGAAATTGAGACTGATCCTGCACCCAAACCTATTATCACCGGCAACAGAATAGTGGAATTAAATTATGTACTTAATTGGGCTTGTAATCTGCAATATGAACACTCCAAAATCTGTACAATGGGCAAAGTGGGAGTTTTAAATGAGATTGCAAAAAGTACAGGATTGGTGAGCAAAATCGTATTTGGTTGCAACGCATGTAACAGAACATATAACTACTACACCCGAGCAGAAATAAATCAATTATCAATGTAGGAGCGGTTTGGGGAACATTAGCTGCTGGCAGCACATATAGCCATATGTCAGAATTGCTGGCTTGCATGGACATTCCTTCCATGTCTGCAGACATGTTCTATAGCATTTAGAGAGAGCTTGGCCAGGTTAGTCCTATATCATCTTTCGTTATCTTAGTTATTATGAGTAAGATTCTACAATCTATTGTTTTTGTCAATTTTGTAAGAATGGGAAAATTCGCTAATAAACTCCATGCTAGCTGCAGGAGCCAGAGAGAAGGAAATCGCTATACAGAAGGGCAACGTTTGCACAGATGGTACACCATGGATCTCAGTATATTTGGACGGATCATGGAGCAAACGTTCCTATGGTACCAACTTCTCAGCACTCTTTACATTTATATAGCTCTTGTTTTCCTCCGTAATTTCTTAAATTCTCGTACCGCATTCATTAAAAAATCGTTCTTTTCAGAACGCATAAATCATTTACATTTTACAAACGTTTTTAAGGTAATGATGGGTTTTCCTATGATTTCGTCATTGAGGTTAACTTTGTAGAGTAATTGTGATTGACAATGCTTCCTATCACAGCAGAAAGGTTGAGCAGATTCCAACACTGTCATGGCGAAAAGAACACATTATGAACTGGCTTATGGAGAAAGAAGTGCCCATTGAGGACAACATGTTGAAACGAGATTTACTTGCTGCAGTAGCTGAAGTGAAGCCTCGATACGACAAGCACAACTTGATGTTACAGCACAAGAAAGAGGTCATGAGATTCTCGTTTGCCACCATATCATTGCGAATTAAATCCCATTGAAATGGTGTGGGCACAAGTAAAACACCATATTAAGATGAATAACACGACATTTAAGGTAAAGAACATGCAAGAGTTAATCAAACTTGGTTATGAAAAAGTCACGATTGAAAACTGGCAACATTATATAAATATACAGTGAGTTTTTTTAAAATGCGAACATAGGAGTTTACATGCAATGTAATTTCCCTATGTTCGATTTTTAAAAAAACACATCAATCTATGAGGTGTGCGCGGTTCACCTTCCCAAATCGCGCAACTTGTGTGACTATGAACAGCAACTCTAATAGTCTTTATGATGAAGAGCACTCGGTAAGATTTCTTTAAAGAAGCCATGTGAGGCCACAGCAACTTTAGGATACATTTCATTTTTCTGAAACTTACGATAACTTGACCTCACAGGCCACGCACTGACACCACAACTCATTGTGAACCAACCTTCAATTATTTGTAGGTCATGTGCACCTGGTATTCTACTAATTTGATCTATTCAATACATAAATGAAGAAAATAAGAAAATAAATACCGAAAACAATTACAATAAATGTTCGAAGTGTCCTCCTTGACATTCTAAGCAATAACCTAACCGATTTCGTAATTAAATTGGACGGCGGTATTTTTAAAAATGTGACAATCTGTCAATTGTATCTACTACTCATTTGAACTACTCAATAGATTGATGTGTTTTTTTTAAATCGAACATAGGGAAATTACATTGCATGCAAACTCCTATGTTCGCATTTAAAAAAAATTCACTGTATATATAAATATAAAGGGCATTGAATGGATGTGGATAGCAGATAATCTTCAAGACGATATTCAAGCTTTTGTAATTAACGTTACGGAATCTTCTTCAGATGATGATCCAGAGTCCAGTGACAACTGATGAACAGATATAATATAAATTGTATTGGCAATGTTAAATTGTGATATAAACTATTAAATTTTCGTAAAATTTTGTTTTCTTTAATCTTTATCAGAGAGTAAGCATGCATAATTTGTATTTTGAGATTGAGGTTAGGAAGTGTGGTTGTTATACCGTAAAAATCATCTACGGTAATATAAAACTACAGGCACTACATCAGTAACATATGTTTGGCAACTATGTAGTGTTTTCCCATAAGCTCCATACTGAATTTGGAGGTTTGGACGCGCTATAGATGCAGTTAAACATCCCTCTCAAAACGTCAAATGTGACAAACGTCAGACCCTCGCGTAAGGTTGCCAGCTCACTTCTACGTGATTGGTTGTAGGTTTCTGACGTATTTAGTCTGAAGCGTTTCAAATTCGGACTAAAAACACATCTTTTCAATGATTTATTTTTAATGTACTTTGTGGATCAGAAATAAAAAATGAAGGCGGGATGACCCCATTGTACCATGTTACAATTGTCCCCGGTCTCCCCTACTATGAATATTGCCTTGCAAACCTCCGGAATGATTGCTGAAAGAGTTGGTTGCGGTATTCGGAATAGATATTGAAGAGACATAAAACTGTCTCCAGTAGCGAGAAAACGCAATGTAAGAGCGAGACGTTCGCCAGCAGAAATCGATTCACGAAACAGCGTATCCTGTCTTTTTATAAACGGTCTCACCAAATCCAACAAATTGTTAAAATCAGCAATATTCATGCAAAGAAAATGTTTGTATAAATATGGAAGTTCGTCTTGTAGCTCTTTTAGCAATTGGGCGTAGCAGCCGATTTCTTTGCGACGTTTCACCCAGTCACGCACCCAAATACTTCTTCCAGCACGAGGTCTTTCATTCTCGGCATTTAAGACGAAAAATTCAGCAGCACCAAAAATACAAACCATCAATGCACTTTCTTCTTCCAAATCACACATTTTCCAAAAATAACAAAACACTTTCAGAAAGAAAACAAGGAGACCACACTTCACTGTGTATTGTTTCATATTTCTACACCATTATCTGCTTTTTTCTACTAAAACAACGGAATTTTACTTCTTTAAATCAATTTCAGCATAATATGTCATCAAAATTTATGTGCAGCAAATATTTGCCATCAAAAATATTTTCGACAAATTGTGAAATCAGTGTGGTGGCGTAGCAAATATATTTGCTACAAATAAAGCAAACAGACTTTGCTAACTGTTTGGCAAACACAATTTTAAGCAAATATTTGCTATAGTGTGATGTCTCCAGCAAACTTATTTTCTCCGCGTTCATATTTGGACAAATATATTTTCTAACTCGGAGCAAATATATTTTGCTAAGTGTGATAGTAGCTTTAGAATCGTGTTTGTAGCAGTCTTTATTTATGAATCTAAGCTGGGCTTATAGCACTCTTGTGATAAACTTGTATTGATACAGATTCAATCATGAGCACTTTGGTTTTGCAAAAGTTTTGATAGATGTTTGCAACTGTGTTGGCTGGGATATTCACATGCACCTTGAAAACTTTTCAATATTGAAATGAATTCTTGACTTTTCAAGTAGGTACGTTTACAATATTGAAACATGTTTGTATTGTGGTGTCAACATTGTTAAGGTGGGTTCATAGCTCTCCGTTGATGTTTCCGTTTAACCGTTAGCCAATCAGAAGACAGTAAATTTTTAAATCGTACGTCGTCCGTTATGATGGTAAAGTTGGTTAAAGTTGAACATTTACGTTTCCGTTGGTAGGTTTTTAACAAAAGGTTCATAGGTCTCCGTTCGGCGTTCATTCATTTCCGTTTGTTCGTTAGCCAATCAAAAGACAGTAAATGTTTAAATCGTATGTCGTCCGTTTACGACCGAAAAGTTGGTTGATGTTGAACATTTACGTTTCCGTTGGTCAGTTTTTAACAAAAGTGACCTTAAGGTATTACATTATATCGAGTTTGAAAGATTCGAAGACTAGGCAGCATTTCTGTAAATTAAATATTACTTAAATACTTAGGGACCTTAAAGATGGTAATGTAGTATACCTTATTACTACGTTAGGTATTTGACCAAGTACCTTTGTAGGATGAAATATGGATTTGTGATTTTTGTAACGAAGAACTTCCCATAGGAGAAGAGACTAATCATGATTGTTTTAATGGCGCAGAGGACCTTTACCAAATTGGCGAAGGAAATCGTTTAACGACGATTAATCCCAACGAAACCGAAATGTAAGCACCTACCAAATTTTTTGTAACTAGAAATCACTACTTAGGTACCTATTGTGGTGATATCGCGCAACGCGCGCGCAAACAAGTTTAGCGACGCACGCTAACCACTCTCTCACTTGTCCAAACCGCGCCCCCACCGCCTACGACGGCCTTTATAAGGAGACGCGCGACAAGTGGAATTCATTCTAACCCGGCTTTCTAGTAGGGAAAGGCTCATAAAGACCAGCGCTGCTCTATAGCCTGGCAGAAAGTCCCCGGCTACATAGTAGGGGCATCAAGACGGCACTCCGACATCGCAAGGTCCATGCCACCGACTCCCACGACGCCGAGAGCAGAGCGGAAGGCCCGCCGCAATGCAATAAGGCACGTCCGACAGCGATCGCCGATGCCGCGACTATTAAGCCCTCTACCGCCATCGCCAGTCAAACGACCACCAGCACCCGATCGTCCAACGTGGAAGCTAATACTGATCGAGACGCCGACGCCCTACGCCAGGGTTGCTCTGAGCCGCCTCCCGAACAACGACCCACGACGGAACATCAAACGCCATCGACATTGTACATTATTGTAAATATGTTTTGTATTCTAGTTATAAATAAACCCACCATTAAAAGAACCACAAAACCGCCAAACTATAATACCTTCTAATACCTATTTATATTTAATAAATAACTCGTTTCATTCTACTTTTATAGCCCTATAGACGCGAACGAACTCCTAATTTGCGAGATTGAAAAACGACCTTCATTGTATGACCACCGTCTACCATTAAAAGAACGAAATCGTGAAACTATTTCCAAATTATGGAAAGAAGTACAGCACGAGTTGCAAGGTGGATGTGTAGTTAGATACGTTTTAAAATTTACGAAATTTTATTTGTAATTTACAGGACATATTAAGGATGTGAACTTAATACAAGTGCGGTGGAGAATCCGGTTCTGCTAGTTTATGACGGACATTCTACCCACATTGGTTTACAGCTTGCAGAAAAGGCAATTCAAAATAATGTGGAAATTCTTTTGCTTCCACCTCATTCCAGTCACCTTTTACAACCCCTCGACCTAGCAGTTTTCAAATCCTTAAAATCAAAGTGGGACGATTATCGGTGCCACTTCGGTATGCGGTCTACCGTCTAATATGTGGTCTACGGCAATTTAGCTGATTCGGCATGCGGTCTACGTACAAAAACAAATTAGAGAAACTATTACAAACATTACTATTTTATTATATTACTTAAAAATAAAGTCATTACTACTTAATTAGGAATGCAAAAACAAATTAGGGAAATTATGACAAACTCATTACTATTTCATTATATTACTTAAAAAGTAAATAATCTTTGAAATAAACTCATTACTGCTCAATTAGGAATGCAAAAACAAATTAGGGAAATTATGACGAACTCATTATTGGTCAATTACGTAGTGCTTATACTAAAACCTTTAATGACCTATTTTGGTATAAAATGAGCCCCAAAATGAAGATTGATTTAGTTGCAAACAAAATGTTGCTAAAAGAGTTTTATCAAACTGTCATTTCGAGCGAAGCAGAGGCAGTAGCATTTCTACGAGCGAACGGTTTATTACAAAATGTTGAAGACGCTGAGCCGTGCCATCGATGTGGGGCAGAAATGGAAGAAAAGCGGAAACGAGATCGGGGTGGTGAATATAGACCAGTTCTTCGCTGTCCAAGGAGAGGATGCCAGACCACAAGATCAGTTAGGCATGGCACCCCAACCGTTTTTTCCATTTCACCGACTTAAATGGAAAAAGTTAACTTTATGTCAAATTTTGGAATTGATGTTCATGTTCATTTTGGAACTCGATTTTGACACAGTAATGAAATTAACGGGGAGAGGAAGTGAAGCTATAGGGGACTGGTACAGCATGTGTCTGTTCCTCTGTGATGTCAGTGAATCGCCGTGGACAGCTTCGAGGTACGGAAGAAGACCCAATCCAAATTGACGAAGCCAGATTTGCGGGCAGAAGGAAATACAACAGAGGACGAATATTAAATGGAGACCATCCAGCAGAATCAGAAGACAGCGATGCTGAAGCGGAAAATAATCGGAATCATGGACGCCGAATTGACGGTCCGTGGGTCTTCGGATTAAAGAGTAAAGAGGAGGTCCGATATTTTTATGTTGAGCGAAGAGACAGAGCGACCCTAGTTCCCATCATACAAAGGGAAGTTGAAGCTGGGTCAGTAATTCACTCGGACGAATGGCCAGCATACGGCAATTACGGAAAATTATGTCGACCCACAAACAGGAGCACATACGCAAGGGATAGAAAGATCCTGGTTGGAGGGTAAAATCACGATTTTGAAAAAAATGAGAGGTGTTCCTGTCAGTACTTTGCAGTCCCATTTGGATTATGTTGCGTGGAAGTTTCTACGAAGGAATGTAGAAGATAAGTTTATCGCTTTTCTGCACGATGTTAGAGATGTATATGTATAAACCATTTAAAATGTTTATGTATTGTCAGTTGACCCTACAAATAAGTTTTTCAAAGATTATTTAACTTTTAAGTAATATAATAAATTTGTTTGTAATAGTTTGTAATAAATAAAATAATATATAAATAATAAATAAAAAGTTTGTAATAGTTTCTCTAATTTGTTTTTGTACGTAGACCGCATACCAAACTAGAAACTCTGCCGTAGACCGCATACCGAAGTAGCACCCGATTATCTGTGCAAGCATTTGAGAAACACCAAATGTCAGAAAATCTCGAAGAAAAAAATGGTGTCATAAATTGGTAAATTATGGAATGAATTTGATGTGAATATAATTAGAAATGGGTTTAAAAAGGCAGGCATAAATAGAGGCGTCATTTCTAAAGAACAATACCATCCACAGGTGTGGAGAAGATGGACTGATTCTCATTTGCCAAAGACGACTAATGTGCCGGTGGGAAGTGAAAATGGAGTTGAAGAGGATGGAACAAGGGGGGAATCAGTGGAAGATACAAGAAGAGTATTTTCACCACAACTTTCCGAGATTGACATCAATGAAAATCTTAATATGTCTGATAAAGAAACTAGCTTTGAGACGTTGAGACTCTCAAAAATTTCATCAGGAAAAGAAAAATCTGAGACAAGCGAAAAAGAACTAGAGTTTCTTTAGGATCTACGCTAATAACATCAAATGACTGCATTGAGATATTAAAAGAAAAAGAAGCAATAGAAGAAAAAAAGAAGACTGAAATAGAAAAAAAAGAAAAGGAAAAACTGAAAAATCGTAGGCAAAGAAAAAGCAGTGGTTCTAAAAACCAAAAGAAAAAGAAAAAAATTATAGACTATACATCATCAGAAAATGAAGAGTCTGACTCTTTAGCAACATTCTCGGCAGAAATGGAAGAAGCTGAGGAAGAAACAGAAAATGTGCCTGAGTTAGCATCACCAGATAACGACTTCTCACTTGCCAGTTTAAAGCCAGGCGAATCTGAATCTGAATATTCCTAGACAAAGACTATAAAGGTTTTTTTAGGAGTTATTCAAGAAGTCAATGAGCTTAGAGAAGAATATTTTGTGAAATATATGCGTTCCATCGACACATTAAAAAAACCTTTAAGTTTCATGAAACGGATCAAGACATATTCCATTTAAGGAGATCATGAAAACGCAGATACCAAGTTATTTTGTTGATAATAGGGGAAGGTACATTTTTGAGAGTGCAATTAAGGATATTGTGCTTTTCAGTAAATATTTTTAATACTTATTGCTTGTTTTTTAATACTCACAAATCGCTTTTACGTTTTTGTTTATTTATTTAGGTCTTAAAAATATATGTACTGATATATTGCTTATTGTTCCTTTTAAATAATATTCACGTTGTCTATTTTTAATGACCAAATTTGAAATATATTTCGAGTTAAATTTCATTTGTTTGTTTCTCAGCAACCGTAAGAGATAATTAAGTTCTGTAAAGACCAACAAATTCGCAATAAATTCAATTATAGGCACTTGCCCAATCCTACTGAACTGTGACACTTAATAACGATTTACTAAACAAATATGCACTTACCCCCACCAGATGGGGCAAGTGCATTGTAATGCAAACATTTTTAATTTATTTTATTTATATTTTGTGTCTTAAATTGCGGGGTTAAGTGTTACTTTGGATTTATACGGTATTTCGTAATGAATTCAATGATATATACAACAATATAATGCATAACGTTAACCTAAAGATATCCTAAAATAAAGTCGATTATATAATTTCACACATGCACTTACCCCAGTTGACCTTAAGTGCGTTTTGTTTGTTAGATGTGTTTGGTTTTTTGATTGTTTTTTTTTTCATGAAAGTTAGTTGAAGGGGTAAAATGGAGACAGTGCTTTGGGGCAAAATGAGACAATGTCCTCATTTTACCCCAGAGACTGGCGGGAATTACTAATTTAATGAATTGTCTTCTAAAAACTAGAAATATCGTTGGAAAACATGCGAAATTATAAAAGAAAGTCGGATCGACAGTCGTGGTGTGAAGAACAAATGTTGCAAGCTATACAAGTTGTAGTTGGTGGTGGTTTGGGGACTCGAAAGGCTTCAATCCAATTTGGCATCTCAAAAGCAACTCTAGAGAGACATGTTAAAAGATACGCAATGGAAGGAGAGGCAGCTGCAAAGAAAGGTTTGTTAATAATAGTGAAAAAACCCATGTAACACTTTATTACATAAACGTTACAGGAATGGGCTCAAAGTCTACGATTTTTTTATCTGCTCAAGAAAAACAGCTGGTAGGGTATTTTAAAACAATGGAGGCAAGATTGTTTGGGTTAACAACTAATGACCTCCGTAAACTAGTCTTTCAACTGGCATAGTACTATTTAGTATGATCTTTAGTTTATTGTAAACAGCGAAGTAAATTTACGGAAACGATACGCATATGTACCTACGAGTTACGGTTTATGAAATATTTACGTATCCGTTCATTGTAAACAAACACTCATACGGTTTACAATTTTTGAAAAAGGGTTGACATGAAGTTCCACACACAGTGCATCCAACATGCGTAATATTAAATTGTACGCAGACGCAGAAGTTATTTTGATTTGATGTCAATTATCAGCTGTTTGTTTAACGTTCGTGCAAAACGCAAACGAGAGTTTCTCTCGGGCAATATATAAGTGCACTGTAATAAAATGTATCTAACTTCGGACCAATCAACTATAACATGACAGAGTAACACAAATGGAAAATATGCTAAAGCTTTGCGTTTATGCACTAAAAAATGGTGTATTTGCACTTTAAAAAAGATTTATGCAGCTTTATTAGTATGTTCTACAAAATGATAGATTCGCACTTTGAAAAAATACATTCCAACTTTAAAAGTATGCAATATAAAGTTATAGTAGATTATTATATTTATGCATATATAAAGTATAAAAATAGCTATAGTACAAATCTGTAGGTACTAAATACTCATTTATTGGATTATTAATGCCTTTTTAGCTGTAGTTGGCCGCCCTCTCTTCCTCTTTTGTCCAAGTGGAACACTTTTAGCTTCAATGGGTACTTTGGCTTTTCCTAAAATAACTAATAAGCCTAATGAATGTTCGCATATGTACTCTTTCAAAAATCTTGAGCAAGTACACTGTGACACTAACTCTTCATTTTCAGAGTAGCAAGCTAATTTTAATACCGTTTGAGATTTTCGAAAATCATCAAAACATTCCCATTTAAGATAGGTGTTCTTCCAAGTCTGCATTTCTTCTTGGTTTAAAACTTCTGTCGCATTCGTCGATTTTGTATAATAGATAGTCTTCTCATTGGATTTTTCTTCAAACATTTTTGGTTTAAGTTTTACCCATTGGTATGCATCAGTCCAGAGTTTTGTTGTCAATTTTATAGTTGAAAAAAATGGCTTGTAATTCGGGTTTTCTGGATTTCGCTCATATGACCATTTTTCAACTAATGAAGTTCTTAAAGCTTCCATAAACTGACCTACTGGAAGACGCTCCCTTAGAGTATGTTCTTTTTTAATTGTGGCGTTTATTGATTCGAGGCCATTGTTAGTGCTTGGGAAACGAGCACATGCACCTTCATACCAAAATCGATTAATTCCAAGCCATGTTTTTTTAAAATAATTAATGAAATCTTTTATCGCCTGATGGTTTGTGACATTTTTGGACTCCCATTTTTTCAAAAATAGATTTTCAGCAATTATGAACACTTCGTCGTCTATGCAGAGCTGCAAAGCATGAAGATCTCTTCCGATTTCTGTTTTTTCTGTTATACCGCGAATAACTGAATCGACGTTTTTCAAAACATGAAAAAAACATTGAAGTCTTCGAGCTGGAGTCCCAAATACTGATTTAAAACCGTTTGTGATTGCTACACTTGCATCTGCAAGTAACACATTTGGTTTCCAAATCATCTGATGAATATTCATGTACGATTGCTTCATTGCTTGAAATATAAAAGCAAAATCAGCTTCTGCTTCGCCAAAACACACTGCAACTGCTAACGGATGAAATTTTCTGCAAATATCTGAAGTTCCTACAATCAGGACTGGATATCCTTGCCATACGAGTTTGTACGTGGCATCAGCTTGAACTTTATCCACTTCTCCTAACAGCTTTAGAAGTCTTTTGGTCGATAAAACAATTTTCAGGTCTTGTTTCAGAAAATCGGCGTCGTCAACATCAATTTTAAAATCTAGAAAAGACAGACTGAGTATTACGTTGTAAATTGTAGCATTATATACCTAAAACATATGGTTGATCTTCGTTACTAGGAACATTTGAGTTTGCGCTGCACCAGTTGCTTAATTCTCCTGCCGAAATAGTGGACGCTCCAAGAGTTTTTGAGCGTAATGAAGTTAAAAATGTTTTTAACTGCGATTTTACTGGTGGCTGCTCTTTCCTTGCACGGAAAGCTGCAATGATGGCGTTAGGCTTTTTGATTCCGTCATTATACAACTGACGCACTAACAACTTTGCCGATGTTGCTATCTACGTGATTAGCATGATCACATTCAGTTTCAAAGAGTGATACTTTCATATTTTCGGAGTGGTACAATAAATATCTTCCCGCGGGGAATTCATTTCTTCTATACTGCCCGCCCGTACATCTGAATGTAACCTTTAATCCATCCACCGAATTGTACGAAGTAATTTTCTTCCAAATTTTTTCATCTTCAATGCACTTCTCTGCCTCCTTTGCGTCATCAAATACAACTTGTTTGCGCCACACCCTATATTTCGCGGGCTTTCGCTGAACAGGTGGATTTCCATCTGCATCACTATCATCAGATAAATCTTCATCAGACGGTACATTTACGTTAAGCTCTTGCAATTCACTCATGGTTACACCCACCCAATCACAAACTAACCTTAGTTTCTAAAAAAACGGATATACACCTGCACAGTACCTACTGCTACTGCTTTGTTGATTTCGGACTTCGGTAGGACTTGTGCCTCAGAGTTCATTCGTTCTCATCCGTGTATGTTCGCGCGCATGTTGCATATTTCATTTCTTAAGTGCAGACCTGCCGTTTCTAGTGCAAACAATTTTCCAATGGTGGTGAGTAATTACTTCATAGTTAAACACAGATAACACAAGGTTACACATATTTAATATCAGTGGACATTTTTGTTCAAAGTGAGAAGTAGTTCTTGATAAGACAACTACTATTACTTATAGTGCATTCTTTTTTAATTAAGTAGAATTGATATATCGAAAGTGATTGCAGGTTTATCTTTGTGTATTTCCTTTTCGTAAAGTTTGAAATATTTGTCTACAGTTTCATTATGTTTTTCAAAGGTGATATATATTATCAATTGTGATAAATGATTTTAAAAAGTTATAAATGTTTTTATATAGTTTATTAGGTACAATTCAAAGTTGTCTACCTTTTCTGCAAAGTGCGAAAAAATTCCACCCGTTTCTCTCTCATATAACTAATAATGGCAGGGGTTAAAAAAGACGAACAAGTAAAAGCCAATATGGCATGTATGTGGAGTATGTTGAAAAATATGATTTCTTACGAACTGGAAAATTATCATTTTCGCCCACAACAACGCCAAAATATGATCATAATCTTTGGGTAGAATTAAGAGACAAGTTGAATGCATGTGGCGATGGACCAAGCGGAGCTGGATAACCTATAAATACTTGATGAACCCTTAAATACAAATTAGGTACTTAATTATCTGCACACGGGATGAAACATTATTTTACACTTCTTCAGCATTGTCCAGCGCATTTATTACTAAAATTACTCCGTTATGCATGTTATTATTTGAATAATATTAGATCAGACGAAAACTTTAACCTAAAAAATTACTTGAAAACCTCTAAACAAATACCATTGCTATCTTTTTACAATATTGCAATTTTATTGTAAGAAGAAGATTTAACAAGATTGCCAAGGCACGCGAATACCAAAACTATAACAATATTGAAAAATTTACAAAGTTTTCAATATCTTAACAATTTCAAGTCGTCACCTTGGAATAACAACTACCAAGGTTCTAACTGCCGTTTTTGCGTAAATTGAGTTTTTGGCATATCTGAGTTTTATCTGCAATAATAAATGCATTTAAATTGTTACTGGCGACTGTGGTGTCGTGGGTCAACAAATAAACGTAACGTAAGTATAACCGTTTATCTTTATGTTGCTTTATTAGACATGAACACAAAGGTACAACGGTACAAAACACACATAAGTGGAAGCCATTACATTTCTACTCTTTATACAACTTCCTTGATAGTTCGTTAGATCGATCGTTTCGAGTCGTTGAACGGGAAAGACGTGTGCTAACGCTTTAGCTGTAAATGGTTTCTAATTGCTTATTTAACTCAAAACTTTATTAATAATAATGGCATCTAATGAAGGAGAACCGTGTGTGGTGCGTGGCGTAGATTGTGGAATCTGTCACAATAAGATTAGCAGGTATGACGATAAAATTGATTGTTGTGTTTGTATAAAGAGTTATCACCTACGTTGCGTGAATATTTCAATACAAGAATTTATCGTTTTACGTAAATCTAAGCAAACTCGGGACTGGAACTGTCCATCATGCTTGTTAACCCCAGAGAACCTACCACCTGCAATGGACCATGAAGAATCCGCCGTACTATCCGTACCACTAGCTGTATCACATACGTCTGCAGTTACGCTGGATCAAATCTATGCCTTGATTGTTTCCAACAAAGATAATCAGGAGGGTTTCGCCAAATCCTTGAATGTATGCCATCAAAAGATTGATGACAACTCTGCTTTACTAAGGTCCCAGGGAGCAAAGATTAATGAATGTTTGAGCGAAGTGAAAAACTTAGAAGGTGAGAATAGCAAGTTAAAGAGTGAGATTGAGGATCTAAAGCTAAAAATCAACGATCTTGAGCAACATACGAGGAAGAATTCGATTGAGGTAAAGGGCGTTCCAGAGATTAAAAGCGAAGACATCTTTAATGTTGTCGCTAGTGTCTGCAAGGCTGTGGGTTTTAATCTTGATAAAGGAATGATCAGCGCTTATCATCGTCTGCGACGTAATCCAAATAAACCTATGGAACCGCCAACTATTATTGTAGCTTTTACCAGTATGTATAAACAAGAGATTATTGAATGCAAACGGATCAAAAGAAACATCACCGTCAGGGACTTGGGAGAAATGTACTCGAAGCTACCGAATATCAACAGCAACAGTCAACAATTTATATAAACGATTCTCTTACGATCGAAAATCGCATACTGTATTCGAAATGTCGTGTTTACGCGAAAGCCAACCTGATTAAATATCTGTGGACCCGTGATGGTAACATTTTTATGCGGAAAAGTGATAACAGTAAAATTTACTTAATACGCTCTGTCAATGACTTCAAGGATGTGCACTAGCTCCACCGTGCTTTTTTTTCTGGTGTTAATTTAATAAGTATAAATCTTTGTTTATTAATGTTAATCTTTTAGACATAGGTACCTATGTTGTCAACAAAATCTGTTTACATTTATGTTTAAAATATCTAAACTCTACTTATTTTTTGAATTAATTTACTTAATCAAACCAGGATTTTTTTATCTATACATTCATCTTACTATATAATTCATACAAATACCTACATACCATCATTGTAAACGCTGTAATGATTATGTTTAGTAAATCTTCTGTTCATTATGAATAGTTTAAAGATATCATTTTTAAATACTCGCTCAATATTAAATAATTTTCTAGAGTTGCAACAACATATAAGGTACTGGTACGGATTACCGACCATGCACTTAATGGCGACCATTTTATTTTCTGGCCTTAAAAAGGAAAACAAGTTATAAAATATTAATTTAAGCACTTTTATACAACTTATTGATGATTCACCCTGCACTTGCGCTATCAACATAGGCATTTTTGTGGGAAAGTGTACAGTTATTTGCAGAAGTTTGCATGCTTGTCACTGTAAAGTGTGCTATTGATATAAATAACCTTAAAAAGTGCTTAAAGTTTGAATTGTGTTTTTAACAATATTAGGTGAGTATTTGCCCAAAACAATAGTTGGTTATTCGATGTAAACTGTACAAGTTATTTATTTGAAGTTTAAAGTCAGTCTGTACCGGGTGATCGGAAAGTAGTGCGGACAGTTTGAATTTCCCACAAAACAAAACATTTATAAAGTTGGTAACATACCAAATGTCATTTATTTAAAAGCAGTGGTGGATCAATTTAATGGATCACTAAACAATAATCACAATTAATTAATTAAAAAAAATTAATTTATCAAGCTCAGTTGAACGCTCGGGTTCATGTATTCAAATATCTATTCCAACGTTGCCCGAGCAATAGTCATGCTCATTAAACCATCACCGTCAGGTTCATTTTATTTGCCTACATACAATAAGACGTATCCACGTCTTCTCATAAATTAACGTCATCAACACTGGATGAAAACATTCGGATATCAATGTGTTAAATTTTGTGCCACAATTATGCGATAAGTCTGTAAAAATAACAAATAGGGATGTTATCGTTCACATTGTTATACCCACCAACTTCATTAGAGAATTTTCGGAAACCATTTCTTGGGGCTACGTTTTTTTTACACCTTCGACATCATGGTAAGTAGCACATTTATCGTTGAATTGCAGTAAGCACAACTGAGTCGAATATGAGCATCTTTTAAACATGTACGTCGTGTACGCCTTTCAATTGTGCATCAAAAGACATCTACTTTAAAGCCTTTATGCCTAAAAAGTAAGGTTACATGATCCTTATAAAGTATGTTCTCTTAATTTACGTACCTTTACGAAATGATGCACGTGCGAAGACCTTTTTAAAAAGAGCTGTTTGCTTTGAAACGCCTGGATCACAGTACGAAGATTAGAAAATAAAATTCACATAAAACACTACGCCAATGGATGGCAATTAATGCATAAATAAACCAACTTCTAAACATGTTTGCCAATTCCTTAAGTAAAAAACACTAAAAATTTAAAGCGCCAAATTTAAATTGTCTGCAGTTTTTTTCGATCACCCGGTATAGTGTAATATTGAAATTATTTAAGATAAACGTTGGTCGGAATTAAGTACAATATTATGGCGGCATGGTCTTAATAGCGACCACGTGGTCGCAAATGGGGAATATTGGGTCAGTCATAAATACTCTCCTAATTTTTATATTAGCCATAAATTATCTATTGGCGGAACAATTTAAAATTGTTTGACATATATCAACAGAAAAATGTAATTCCGACCACCCTTTTTAATAACAGGATCGATGTGTTGGCTAACATAAGTTAAACTAAATGTACTCGTTTCGATGAACTAACTTGCATTACACAGCACTTACATATTCATTTATTTCTAATCTAATTAGACAGAACAACTACTTACCTAGTGTTATATATACAATATTATATTGACGGAGAATAAATTGCCTGTAGACATTAATCTAATAAACCCAGTTTTCTATAATTTGCATTTGAAGTGTGGTCGGTATTTATGGACAATAATTCTGTTCGTGTATCGAACCCCGTCCACATGGTCGATATTAGGGCAATGCATGATTTTTATCGTACAGATCATACCAACCATATTTGGCATTTTTTTATTTAATAAAAAATTTCAAAAAACTACAATAACTTATTTTTGTGCATAGACGAACCATGGAACAAACAAAAAAAGAAAACTCTATACCAATGAGGCATTGCTCAATGCATTGACTAGTATAAAGGAGGGAATGAGCATTAGAAGAGCATCTGCTCAGTTTCACATACCCAAAACAACGTTAATAGATAAAATGAAGAACAAGCATAAAGAAGGGGCAAGACCTGGGGCTCCCACAGTTCTCTCCTCGGAAGAAGAACAAAGTTTAGT